AGTGATCTGTACAGCTACAGGACTTTATAAAAATCAGAAATTACTATATCATATTGAACTGTTCCCATAATTCATTTTTTTCTATCCTAACCGATGTTTTAGGCATGCTAGTGGATGAAATAATAACTACAATAAAAGCTTCAGATTTATCCTCATCCATACTCAAATAAAAACAGGATTTGTTTTGATCACTGCTCTCTCAGGAGGGAGAGCTACATCACACGTGAAAAGTGACACAGAATCTCAGAATGGTTTGGGCTGGAACAGACCTTAAAGCCCATCCTGTTCCACCCCTGCCATGGACAGGGGCCTTCCACTATCCCAGGTTGCTCCAAACCCTCTCCAGCCCGGCCTTTTGTCAGTCCAAGTCTCTATTTACCAAAGGCTGCTTTGAGGATTAGTTGTTGATAGGAAATGCCAGTTAAAAGGCCCTTCAGAGCCAGCCAATATCCAGCTTTACATTCCTTCAGAGCAAAAATGAGGGGGCCAATGGACATACACAATGGTATTTTAGAAATATATGAGCATGAATATTTCTATTAAAGCAACACAAACAACACACTCCAGAGCTATTGAGCTGCCTGAGGTAACACAACCCTGGAAATAAAGCTGAGCTGCAGCTGTGGCTGTGGGGTATATTCCCAACGGGAAGGGGAGCGCGGTTCCCTCGGCTGGAGCAGCAGCAGGCTCTGGTTGCTGACTGCCCATACAGGACACCACACTGCTCTCAAGGGTGAGGGGAGATGGGATCCTGTGTTTGCAAGCAGGCTTTCTGCTTCCAAATAGTTCAGGAAAATCACAAGAGCTGGTAACAAAAATTTTAACTGCAGCTCTGAGAGAAACACTGGGACCTGAGTTGTGCATGGAGCCACAACACTTCCAGATACCAACACAGAGAACATTCTCAAGAGCCTCCTGCTTCTCACCATCTGCTTTTCTGGAGGAACACGCCAAGCAGAGAAAGCTCATATGACACCTCAAGCCTTCAGGAATTTTATGGTGTTTGTAGGGTCTTCCCAGAGAATATGCCCATACAATGTACTTCTGAAGCTCTTGTGCCAAGTTTAGCTCAGTGTTGGATCTGACTCCTTACCAGGATGAAATGTTGCCATTTTTAAAAAGAAAAACCATCCAATATATTTGAGGATAAAACAACACTGCTAACGTTCACGTGGGCTGCTCACCCACAGCCAGCACTATATTTAAGGGACAATTTGGAACTGTGGCTACCATGAGATGAATTGAGCAAACCAGGTGAACCCACATCTCCCTCACGGAGATAAAAGGCAGATATCCCCCTCCCAATCACATTTAGAAGCCCCAGGTCATCACACTGGAGCAGTGAAGATGAAGGTTAAAGGCTGCAGCAAGCAAACACCAACCTTGCTGTGTAACACATGGGGCTTGTGTACCAGATGTGTTCTAGATGGGCATCGCACCCTCCTTCTCACGTATTTGAGAAGCTCTTCCTCCCCCATAAGGTGCCCCAGCACTGTGCTTTTATTTGAAATCAAACCTAGACCAAGCTAAACATAAAAGAGGAAAACTTCCCTTACCAGAAGAGAGCTGTTTTCAGCCTTTCCCCCCCCACTTTTCTTCTTTTCACAAATGAGGCGCAGCAATGGTGAAGATACAAGAGCAGAGAATGGACATCCACAGCTAAAGCTTTGTCATGCGCTGACCTGTGGCTCGCTGGCAACCCGGTGGCAGGCAGCCAGTGGTGAGCCAGCACCAGCTATTCATCAGGAGAAGGCTCAGATAAAGCAGTGCTGCCCAGCAGGTATCCCAGCGAATGCATTCCGGGAGCCCCTGCGCGGGGCATCCTGCCATTAAAAAGCCAGGAGATGCCTCAGCAAATTCCCCCGGGGCCCTTTGGGGAGGCTGACACGGAATTTGCAGGCCAGAATTTTAGTGATCCACTCCACACCTCTGCTCCAGAAGCCCAAGATGAATAGGGAGCTCTGGTGAACTTTGAAGCCTGCGGGTCAAAGTTCTCTCTCATTATCCCCAACCATTTTCTGTCGGCGGAGCTCCTCGGCATCCCAAGGGACGGGAAGGTTTGAGGCTCTTGAAAAAGCCTGACATGACCAAGTCAGGAAACAGTAGGGTGCTTATGTACATATGTTTTTCTTCCCCCGTTTTCCTCTCCCCTCACTTTCTTGAAAAGAAAGAAATGAGAGGGATTTCTCTATTGTGTCAAACACCAAGCTGGTGGCACCAGGAGTCGCTGATGTAGCTGGCACAATGCGGTGCTCATTTCAGCACGCTGCCCTGCCAAACAGGCCTGACCCTCCCAGGGACACCTCCTCTGCAAGGAAGGGCCTCACTGGATTTTTCCCTCCCCACCCCAAAACCTTTCATTCTGTAGGCAATGTTTTCAAGGAGGATGTCAGGGCTGGATTTTGCAGTACCTGTTTTCTATGTTAAACCCACTGCTTCGTGCCTGAGCCGCCACCGAACGCATCTGGCAGAGACAACTGATCCAACTTGTGGCAAACCTCGAGCAATATTGAACACAGTGCTCACTAACAACCACTAAACAGTGTAATTGCTCCTTCCAACACAAGATCTTTCGCTCTGACTCAAACCACAGGCTGGACAGACCAAATCATCTCCTAAATTTCCTTCTTCTGCCACCACTAGAGGCCAGCTGCCCACTTTTCACTGCAATTAAAAATTCACTCCAGAATTAAAAGGGCAACATTCTGATTAGCTAAAATGACCTAGACATTTGAAACAATCTAAATCTGGTAAAAGCCAGGCTTTACACAAGTTTACAAAACTGATTTTAGATGGCTAACAAAAGCTCTTCACTGCTGATTAATGGGAAAGTTGGTAGGAATAAGGCACTGATTTTTCAAAACAATGTAAGAAATTATCCCAGACAGCAATGCAAGCACAGCATTAAAAATCATCACTTTGGCTTAGTTGTGGAAAAAAAAGGAACAAAAAATTACTAATAAACAAAACCAGCAAAACCAAAACATGGTATTCTGTTTGGGGGAAGAACTTCTCAGCTGGAAATCCCCAAAAAGAAATTGTCCCATTCCTGCCAAGGAAGTTTAGTACAAAGTGTACTGGGAGTGTGACTGACTGGAAATATCTGTGGTTCCCTCACGAACCCCTCCAATCCACGCAAGGAGGAAACAGAGACACCCAGCCCAGCACCTTCTTCTTGGGGTGGGGGGGCACAGTGGGGGACAGAGGGAAACAATTACAGGCTGGTAATTACTTCTTCTTTAAATGGATTCTCTCTAATCTCCGATGGATTTACCTCTAATCTCAAAGTAATTACGTGTAACCTCAATGGATTCTTACTCTGGGGGCGAAGCTGCAGCTCCGGGGGAGCCTGAGGAGGAGGAGAAGTTTCTCCATTGTCTGCCAGAGCAATGAAAACCTCACACGTGCACGGCCCTGCCAGGAACAATAGAACATTTTCCAGCAGCCAGGAAGGGACCAGGGCACACACAAGAGCCTCTTCCTTGCTTGATGACCAGCACAATCTAAGGCAGACTCAAGTGGCAGCTCCATGGGGGAACGCAGTATCTGTGCTCCCCTTCTGGGAGCAATACCAATACACAGATTTGGGTATTTCAGGGCTGCTTCACGGCAGAATTAGTCAAATTTAGAGGCACTAAAAGTGACCAAATTGGGCAGAAAGATGTGAACCACATCACACAAAGGAGCAGTGAAAACCCTGCTCCAGAACACGGGGGCTGAGGGACAAGGTTTCTGATGGGAAGCAGCAATGCCTTGAAGCTACTTGTCATCTAATTTACCACATAATTTTTAAGAGACATGGACATCACATCAGAAACCAGAGCAAAGCATCATTATGGCAGGACCTGAGACTATAAAATCTTGTGTCAAGGCAGAGAAAAAGTGCTAATATTCCACAGACAGGGAACAGCAAGCGGGGCCAGACATGGATGTGGCACTTGGAGGTGTGGTTTAGTGCTGGGCTATAGCTGGGCTTGATGATCTTAGAATGCTTTCCAGCCTTAATGATTCTAGGGTTCCATCTCCTCAGACACCACCCCATTTAAGCAGAAGCTTCCTGCCAGTTCCAGGTGCAGGTCTATAAACCCCAGAATTTATAGAAAATGCATCAAAACCTTGATTTTCACTCCTTAATGTGAAAGTGCCTAGGAGCTCCAGATGCCACTAACAGGTTTAGAAACAATTGGCCCTAAAAATATTACAAGTGGCAACCCTCTGGTTTGCATACATGGGATGATGATAAAATACAAGATCAGATATTATATAAAGCCATATATATATATAGATAGATAAACAGATATTTCTATATATTTATATATCTCATCTTTATCTCATCTATATCTATATCTCATATATAAATATATCTGTATGTATAGATATATACATACCCTTGAGTTATTTATTTAACCTTGGTGAGAATCACACCATGATTTCTGGGGTGGGCTACTCCTGAGTGGGATCTCTGTGCTCCTTCCACCCCCAAATCCACACTAGGAATTGTGCCACACACTCTCAGGGGCAGACAGCATCCTTGGGACAGGGATAGATGCCTCAACATAGAAAAGTTGTATGGAACATATTTTAATGGCTAAGCCATTTCCAGAAAGCTGCTCAAAATTACTCCTGAATAAACCACAAGCCCTGCACACTGACAAAGACCTCTCCACACTCTTTACTACCTCTAGGAAATTTTTTCTTGTAAAATGCTTGTTTCTTAACCCTGGGATCAACAACAAATCCATAAAAGATATTAGCAGGAAAAAAAAAGCCTTAAACAGTTCCAGCAGCCTCTTGGGATGCAAGGAAGCCCCAGCCCCTGTGGATTCAGAGGACTGGAGTGCACTCAGACTTGCAGCAGGGAGTTTTGTTTCAGGTGATGATTCTTTGAGAGGGATGGGAATGAAGAGAGAGAAAGAAGCTCCCCCACCACAGTGGTCTCACCAAAGGCACACTTGGCACTGCTTTGCAGGGCTGAGCGTTCCAGAGCAGGGAGTACTCACGTGCAGGCTGGGATGGTAGGTCAGCACGCCGTTGTCACACAGTGTCACGTATTTCTTCTTCCACTCCTTGTTCAGGGACTTGCCACTCCGCTTTAGCAGCATCCCCTGGTTGGGGGAGAGAGAGAGAAAAGGTCAAACCTTTTTTCTTCTGAAAACTTCTGCCCTCCAGACAACACCCAACAGCCCAAGACACAGAGAGAAAGAAGTGTTATTGCCAGCATTTTGAGAGAGGCTTTCTCCTGCAAGTTAAGCTCCTCATTCTGCCTCTCCCACAATCCACATTCCCTCCACTGGCTTTGTCAAATGGGTAGAAAATCCTTTTTCATTGAATTCCACACCTCAGGAAAGCACATTTTAGTGTGACCCACATGGATTCCTATCTGATGAAGACACACCATGCTCTGCATTTCCTTGCCCTCTAAAACAAATGATGAGCCCCTGGTTGAGGGAGGGTCCTGCTTGTGTGGCCTCCCTCCAGCCTGCTCCTGGTGCTTCCTTGCCCACAGAAGAGCACACATCTGTGTTCTCATTCCCTCTGCACAAAGGTCACACCACCATGGAAGCCACTCTTGGCTACTGATTCCAGCAAAAGAAACCCCAATCCCAGGCAAGAGTAGCAAAACAAAACCAGAGCAAATACAAAGTGTTTCAAGTAAATCCTGGAAAATTTAATGACAGAGATGTGACTGGAGAGGAAAGGAGCTGGGCCAAGTGAATCACCTTTCCACCATATTCAGTCAGGGATGAATGCCAACAATCACAGAATCCCAGAATGGTTTGGGTTGAAGGGACATTAAAATGCACCCAGTTCCAAGCCCCTGCCATGGGCAGGGACACCTTCCACTGTCCCAGGTTACTCCAAGCCCTGTCCAACCTGTCCTGGAACACTGCCAGGGATGGGGCAGCCACAGCTTCTCATCAACAGCAAAGATTAAAAGTCATCATTGTGTTCCAACAGACAAACAGACAGGAACTGCTACCTGTTCTCAGCTGCAAAACAGAATTTCACTTTGAAAAATAAAATACCACAAGCTGTAGAACACTCAAGGCAATAAATGAAGAATGCACTTCCTTAGGAAATTTTAATTTCCAAACCCCAGCCAGTAGGCAGTTCCTAATGGATCCAGACAATATTATGGCTGTGCAAAGCCTTACTGGAATGTCCAGTGGAGATCCTATGGATAGTACCTACCACAGGGACACACTGGTGTCACAGATCAAGCTCTGATCAAAGTGGACACGCGTCCATTTCAATAAATGACAACCAGGAATCCACCCCACACAAACTTCAGCTCCCTAACCCCTGTAAAACAAGTTCTTCCCTTCTCACTGTACAAGGCAATTAAATAAAGGGAAAACAGAACATAGAAAGATGTCCTACCAAGCACAGTGCTTCCAACTCCTATGGAGTTGTTCTTGTTAAAAGTGGTTTAAACCTTGAAAGTAAGTTCCACTGTTTATTTTCCCATTAAACCTGCAGCTTTATGAAGTGATCCTATCCCAAAGCCAGGAGGGGACATGGGTCAGCTCTAGTCAAGTAGAAATCCTGCTCCTGGCCGCACAGCTGGAACAGAACTTCAGAGGAGAACCTTTCCCAAATCCAACCCTCTCCACGGATGGGACCGTGAAGAAAAGCTCATGCTGGACACCTGAATAGCACAGTCATCCAAACTCCCAACTTTCTGCCTGTCTGGGGGTCACATGTCTGTATTTTTTTGTGCTGCTCCTTGCTAGAACTCAAACTTTTTCAAGGAGAATGGGGCTTCTGAAACGCCTCCTCACAAAAGCTCCTGCTCATCCCAATTACCGCCTGCCAGCGCTTGGAGACGTTGTTTTCTTCTATTAAAAAATGAAAGCTTATTTCTGCCTTTGACTCTCCTGTTTGTCTATAGGAGGTGATCTGTCTCTTCACCTTTCCCATCTTTCATACCTCACCTGCAGCACAGCACTGGAGTTTAGGGGGACCCAATTCTAGTTAGTGCTGTGCCGTGGGGATCAAAAATTACTGTTTCCTTGCGCTGGTTTGTTCTTCAGACCTTCTAATGGGGAAAAAGCAGTAAGGATCACAATGGTGATTTTTTTTTTCCCTCTGCTTTTTTTTTTTTTTTTTTTTTCAGCTTTTGCTGGCTTCAAAACCAGTAAAATGTATATATTTCATAACCTTTTAACTGCCCCTTTGCTATACAGAAAACATGTCATTACTTACATAATTTTCAATTCATGCCAATTATAATCTCAATAAATAGTAAAAGTCTACCGTGGTCATGATTTTTACTACTTACTTCTGTTACTATCTAAGTATGAATTATGACATTCTAGTTTTGGATCTAAATAAAGAAAATTATTCAAAATGAGGTTTTACCATGTTTTTAAAGCAGAACTCTGTGCTTTGATGTAAAAAAACCAAACAAAAACCAACCTGCCCAGCTCAGAACTGAATACAGATGATGGACCTATTTCTGCCTAACTAACAAACCTGACTTCCCAATCCATTTTCTTCAGGCATTCCTTCAGCAAACAGAATCATTTTCACATTATGTGATAATTAAAAGTATCTTGAAGTACCTGGAGAGCAAACTGCTCTGAATACAAGGAGCTAACTTAAAGTGCTATAAAGCAAAGCAGCCCATACAAACCACAGTTTTTATTCCCAAGGCCACCACTTTGTAGTAATTTTATACAATGGTCTGAAGAAATGGTCTTAGAATCAGAGTTTAGATCAGTTATAAATGCACTTTAATGTTAGCTACACTTAAGAATAATAAATGGCCAACAAATGACAGGAAATGTTACTTAAAAGAAAATAAAAAATAGAGGCCCTTGCTTCAGTCCCATTATGGCTACATTGGGGTCACATCAGATGCTGTGCCAGGGAAATGAGATCCAGGGGTTCCCACTGACCCCTGGTACCTGCAAGGCAATTCAGAGGCAGCTTGGGCACATCCCCAGTCACTGCCAAACAGGTCCCCATGTACACACAGCACACTGGAAAAATCCCATTGAGTCCCCAAGCTATGGAGTAAGCAACTAAGACAATCTTCTATTCCAAATACCATTTTTCTTAGTGTAAACAATCCCTGTCTCAAATCCCTGTCAAAAAATGGGCAATGCTATTTTCCTGAATTTGTATGAAACCTTTAATTTCTTACAGGCCTCCATGGGTAGTTGGGTGCAGCTGACCCAAAGCCTGCAGACTCAACAGTAAGAATTTAACACCTCTGATTTCCACACAAACCGAGAAGAACTTCACACCTCAAAATGCCTTTTTTTTTTTTACCACCTTCCCTCCAAAACTGCAACTCTGTGTTGTTTATGGGAGGAATGGTGAGTGCTCCAGCTTGTGGTTTTAAGGAGTTGGAGAAAAAAGGCTCCAAGTGGAGTGCACGGAGCTCAGTCCCTGGGTTTTGCTGGAGGATCCACGGAGCGAACGGAGCCGGCTCTCCGTTAGTAATGTGTGTGCTACGTCTACTCCCAGGAGGTCATTGCAAGCCAAAAGCAATGTTAAGTGTACAAGCTTTAAATAACTTACAAAGTTAATGTAATGAATGCAAGTGTGATCTGAAATCCATCACTCAGTGGCTTGCTGTAGCCTCAAGCTGTGATAAAACACCACTCATAAATTTATATTAAAACTCTGTTCGATAGCAATTATTTACCAACAAAGATTTATTGATTGCATTTGCTGTTAGGGACTGGGGCCCTAACTGAGTCAATCAGCTTAGGCTGCTGAGCTCCAGGGCACCTGGGGAAGTTACAGACTGCCAGCAGGCTCTGCAATCCCAACATTACCGTGGGAGCAGGAGCAGCTAATGAAAAGCCGCCAGCCTCGGATTGATTGGAGCTAAGGTGGAAAAAAACCAACACAGGCAGCACCAGTCAAGGGAGCAGGGCATGTAATACAGCCAGTTCATCTGAATACACTGCAACCAGCAAAATCTGCCTGCTCCACGTGCCTTCCATGAGCTTCCCTGCTTTAAATAACAACTCAGTGGCAAAACAACAATCAATCTGTTCTATAGAAATATCTTAAGTTTTAAATAGCAAATTATCAGCATTTCAAAAAATGACCCCTTGAAGATGCTAATGGTGCATTGAAGATGCTGGCAGGTGAGAAGCCTTAAAAATGGTCTTTGAAGTCAGCAGAGCCAAGATTGGACCTTATGGAAAAGGAAATATGGTACCTACAAGGCAGGGGTTAGAATCAGATGAACTTCCTGGATCCTATCCAACCCAAACCATTCCATGATTCCACTTTGGTTTCTATTTTCTTTCAGAAATTTACCCCACTGCCAAGGCTGAGGCGTGAACCTCTGCCAGCCTTTTGTTTCTTCCCCTCCCTAATTTTTAGCTGACCCCATATTGTTTCCCTGATGCTGTTCTGACAGAATGAAACAGGTTATCTCACACTTCATCATTAACAACATGAATTCCTAATTTTCCACCCAGCTCTGTAGTTCCCACAGCCATGATTAGCAGCTAGCACTGCTAGGAATTTTCTACAGCTCCTGTACATCCTGTTCAGAAAAAAAACCCAGCAACTCTTGGTTATGAAAAACCTCCTCCTTCAAACTCCAAAGGCAGCCACTCAGGATCTCAAACTAATTGTTACATACAAATTCTGGTCAATAAAACACCCACTTCCTGTAAATTTATTAACCTGGATAACAAATGCTGGTGAAATCCCCAAGATTCAATGGCCAGCCAACTCTGCACAGCCTGTCCAACAGCACTGGGACCACCTGATAATAAACAAGAGATTAATTCTTCAGTTTTTGCTGAAGTTTTTGCTTCCACAAGATTTAGTTGTTAACAGGTTTCTGGTGTTTAAGTCCATTCCAGCATATGGCAGACACCAGCTCAGTTTTACCTCCAAACAATACCTGCAGGCCAAAGGAAGTCGCTGGTAATGATGGAATCATTGATCCATAGTCAGAGAATCCCAGAATGGTTTGGGTTGGAAGGGACCCTAAAGCTCACCTCATTCCATCCCCTATCATGGGCAGGGACACTTTCCACTAGCCCAGGTTGTTCTCTCTAAACCTAGAATCCTCTAGGGAATAAACTTCTGAAGATTGACAGTGTAGTGTGAATCCTTCCATAAAAAT